TAGGCCAGGCACGGTGGCTCAAGCCTGTAATCTCAGCACTTTGGGAGGCCGAGGCGGGTGGATCACAAGGTTAAGAGATCGAGACCATCCTGGTCAACATGGTGAAACCCCGTCTCTACAAAAAAAAAAAAAAAAAAATTAGCTGGGCATGGTGGCACGTGACTGTAATCCCAGCTCCTCAGGAGGTTGAGGCAGGAGAATTGCCTGAACCCAGGAGGCGGAGGTTGCAGTGAGCTGAGATTGCGCCATTGCACTCCAACCTGGGTAACAAGAGCAAAACTCCGTCTCAAAAAAATAAATACATAAATTACAAAACAATTACTGTAGGATACAGCAGTTGCAATTCTGGGTGTCTACTCGAGAGAATTGGAAGCAGAGTCTCCAAGAGATACGAGTGCACCCACATTCCTAGCAGCATTCTTCATAATGCCCAACCAAGTGCCTACCAGCAGATGAACGGATAATCTAAATGTACTCTGTACATACAAGGGTGGATTGTTCAGCCCTAACAAGGGAAGAAAGTTCCAATTCAGCTACCACATGGATGAACCTTGAGGACCTTATGCTAAGTGAAATAAGCCAATTCTTTTGAGATTTTACACCTAGTCCAAACTGTTTATTGAATAGAAATATGGAAACATTTGTACCATATACAGAATTACTTCTGATATACATGAACAATACTGCAAAAATTGATCATACTTGGGTGGCAAGATGGTCTGTACACCAAACCCCCGTGCCATGCAATTTGTCTGCGTGACAAACCTCCATATGTGCTCTTGAACCTAAAGGTTTTAAAAAAGGAAAAACAAATTGTTCCTATCCTAAGCTATAACGAAAACCTCAGTACATTCCAGAAAGATAGAATTCTAGGAGTCATGGTCTCTGATCATGATAACAAAAGGATACATTAAAAAAGACACTCTTCCAAATAATTTTAGGGTAAGAAAGAAAAATCATCAGTATAGAATATTTTTAAAATATTTGTATGATTTAGCTACAATTCTCCTGAGGAGAAAAATCGTAATTATAGAGCAGGGTTTCTCAACCTCAGCACCGCCGACATTTTGGGATGGCCACCACCCACCAGATGCCAGTAGCTTCCCAACCTCCAGAACCAAAAATGTCTTCAGATAAATGCCCCCCATATGGTAAAATTGCTCATCTGAACAATGCCCTAGATGTTTCTATTACTAAAGAAGAAACGTGAAAATAGCTTAATATGAAAACCTAGGTAAAAAACAATATATGATACCTCATGTCAACATTAATAGAGAAGAAAGCAGAATTTAATGAATGATCATAAAAGGTGTCAAACTGATTTTTTAAAATGTAAGAGCTGGTTCTTGAGCTAGACACTTGAAATATATAAACTTTTGGCCAGGTGTGATGGCTCATTCCTGTAATCCCAGCACTTTGGGAGGCTGAGGCGGGTGGATCAGTTGAGGTCAGGAGTTTGGGACCAGCTTGGCCAACATGGCAAAACCCTTCTAAAAATACAAAAGTAGCCAGGTGTGGTGGCATTCACCTGTAATCCCAGCTACTCAGGAGGCTGAGGCTGCAGTGAGTTGAGATTGTATCATTGCACTCCAGTGTGGGCGACAGAGAAAGACTCTGTCTCAAAAACATAAAAATAAATATATAAACTTTTGAGAAGGAAAATTTTAAAAAGCAACATGTATTCACACTATTGCAATTTTGAATGGGAATTGATGAAAACTACAGAGTATATTAAAAATATAATATTATCCAGTTATATGCTACTATGTGTTAGTATCTGGATAAAATGAATAATTATATATATATTTTTAAGTATACATATATATAAAATTTACCAAAACTAACTCGAGAAAATGGAAACTAAAATAGACCTATTAACCATGAAGGATATTGTGAAAACAAAAAGCACTAGGCCTCAGATGGTCTTCTGTTTAAGCTGTTTCATTCTCTAAGGAAGATGTAATGTATATGTTTATCCTGTTCCAGGACATAAGGAAAAAGTGCATTTTCAAAATTTGATCATAATAACGCTAACATTTGATGAAAGTAACCCTAAAAAATAAAAACTAAGAGATATGTAATTAAAAAAAAGACATACCAGACACATTCAAACCAATATACAGGCAAGGACAGCATTATTAATATCAAACTCCACTGAATTCAAGGCAAAAAGTGAGACAAAAAAAGATAATAATGACTAATCTATAAAGAAGATATAATTGCCTGTCTTCCTTTTGCAATAAAAACCAACATCAGGGCCGGGCACGGTGGCTCATGCCTGTAATCCCAGCACTTTGGGAGGCCGAGGTGGGCAGATCACTTGAGGTCAGGAGTTTGAGACCAGCCTGGCCAATGTGGGGAAACCCCGTCTCTACTAAAAATACAAAAATTAGCTGGGCATGGTGGTGCCGCCTGTAGTCCCAGCTACTGGGAGGCTGAAGCAGGAGAATCACTTGAACCTGGGAGGCAGAGGTTGCAGTGAGCCTTGATCACACCACTGTACTCCAGCCTGGGCAACACAGCAAGACTCCATTTCAAAAACAAAACAGAACAAAACAAAACTGAAATCAAATTCCCAAAACACTTTAAGCATTAAGGGGAGTTTGTTTTTAATGCAAGCAGAAAAATTGGAGGCAATCTGGACAAGCCTGTGTAAGATTAAAAAGCCAAAAAGGTAAGGAATCTAAGTAATTACTGATGGAATGGATAAATATTACACTGCTGTATTCATCTGCAAACACAGCCTGTTCTTTGTAAGGACTGTGGAATATGTATAAAATTTAATCACATTTGGGTCCCAAAGAAAACTTAAAAAAACTCAAACTTGTGAGCAGTACAGACCCCATTCTTTGGCTACAATTTCTAGTAACAAGAGTGATCAAACAAAACAAAACAAAAAATAGCCACTTGACATTTGAAGAATGGTATTTATCCATCCCATCAGTGATTACTGAGATTCCTTACCTTTTTGGCTCTTTAATCTTACATAGGCTTATCCAGATTGCCTCCAATTTTTCTGAAATTTCACTCCTTTTCTCCAATGTTACTTTTTTTTAGCCTCTCTTTTTAGTTTAAGTTCCAGGGTATATGTGCAGGTGTGTTACAAGGTAAAGTGTGCTCTGGCGCTTTGCTGCACATAGCAACCCATCACCGAGGTATTAAACGCATCATGCATTAGCATTTCTCTTGATGCTCTCGCTCCTGTCACTCCCCCCAACAGGCCCCAGTGTGTGGTCTTCCCCTCCCTGCGTCTAAGTGTTCACATTGTTCAGCTCCCACTTATGAGAACATGCAGTGTTTGGTTTTTTGTTCTTGCATTAGTTTGCTGAGGATAATGGCTTCCAGCTCCATTCATGTCTCTGTGAAGGACATGATCTCCTTCCTTTTTATGGCTGCATAGTATTCCATGGTGTATATGTACCATATTTTTTTTATCCAGTCTATCATTGATGGGTATCTGGGTTGATTCTGTGTCTTTGCTATTGTGAATAGTGCTGCAGTGAACATACTCATGCGTGTATCTTTATAGAATGATTTCTACTCCTCTGGGTATATAACCAGCGATGGGATTGCTGGGTTAAATGGTATTCCAGAACTCTTCTTGAACAACTCTTGGATCAAACAAGAAAGTAGATTTTAAGTGTTCTTATCTAAGCAATGCTATGTGAGGTGAATATGTTAATTAGCTTGATTTAATTATTCCACAGTGTATACATGCATCAAAACATCATACAATACACATAAACATACACAATTTGTCATGTGTCAATTAAAAAATAAAATACGACTCAAAAATTGAGGAGGAAGCAGCAATTATAAATCTTTAAAATGCAAACGAAGGGATGGCTAAAGAGAAAATGAGATGTTAAAGAACTAGAAAACGGAAGCAGAAGTGATCTACTTGAGTGGATTCTTTTGAGGAGAAAAGAACCCATGTAAACCTGAAAACCCATTTGCTTTCCGAATGAAGAAAAGATGAGAGAAAAACACAGATATTTGATATTAGATATTAGAAAGGGGAAGTAACTGCAGATGCAGAGGAAATAAAAATGGGAAGAGTATGTAAACTAGTATGCCCATTGAACAGGGTGTGTGTATATATTTAGGTCAAAAGTACTATTCTGTATCTTTTTTTTTTTTTTAAACGGGGTTTCACCATGTTGGCCAGGCTGGTCTTAAACTCCTGACCTCAGGTGATCTGCCCGCCTCAGCCTCCCAAAGTGCTGGGATTACAGGTGTGAGCCACCGTGCCCGGCAAAAGTACTATTCTAAATGTGTGTTTAGTGTGAGAGAAAAACCAGTAGCTTTCTTATATTCCAGAAGTAACCACTGAGAACATAGCACAGGGAATGGAGTTAATAACAAAATTACCGACCTGTAGAAAGAAAAGTGCTCAACTTTATCAAGAAATTTATTTATTCACTGTATTTAGCACATGCTTCTACAATGTAGGTCTTACTGTCTGCCAGTACATTTGATCTTTAACAACCCTAGAGTATAAGTTTTCTCATATCCACATCTTACAGATGAAGAAACTGAGGCGCAAAGAGGTTAGGTAACTTGGCCAAAGTCACCCAACTGGTAGGTAGCAGGACCAGGATTCAAAATGAAGTTAGCGTCCAGTGTCTGTGTGCTTTGCTCTCACGGTGACTGGTCAATTCATGTAGAGACGTATCACATTTCAGGAGGGAAGACTGTCTCATCCGATGATCCATCACGACTGGACTGAGGTCTCTAGCAGGGGCTGAAATCCAAAGCATCTGTGCAGTATGAATGGCAGTAGAACGGCACACAGCTGAGGAGCTGCCGTTTTCCCACAAGTACACTGAATCATGCAGAGGTCCAAGTAGTGTGGGGTTCCACCTTGAGACTCTCCTGTCAGGGATCGGAGCGGAAGCTGCACCCATCACTTCTCCTCTGCATTTCCTCCTCTAAGTCCGCTAGCACAGATGTGAGGGACAGATCTTTCCTAACTCAGAGCCCCTGTCCTCCTCTCTTAGATCCAGGAGATGGTCCACTCGGAGGTGGCCGCCTACGACTCAGGTCGGCCCGGGGCCCTGCTGGGCCGCCCAGCGATGCTGGCCAGCCACATGAGTGCTCTCAGCCAGTCCCAGCTCATCTCGCAGATGGGCATCCGGAGCGGCATCACCCACAGTTCCCCGTCACCCCCGGGGAGCAAGTCAGCGACCCCCTCTCCCTCCAGCTCCACTCAGGAGGAGGAGTCGGAGGTGCATTTCAAGGTATGTGTGGGGGAGGAAGAGAGCCTGAAGCTGCGCTCCTGTTGGCAGGGGAAGGGGTCCTGTGGGGAAATGGACATCCCCTCCCTCTAGTAAAGACTAGAAATGTCTAATGTCCCAAGGCCCTGTAGGTGCTGTCCCCACTTACCAGGTGTTCCTGGTGGCAGTTGGGATGTCCACCACCAACCTCAGTGGGTTTCTGTTAAGACACTCAGGCCACAGCGGAAGCCAAGGAAAAAGCCCATTGGCAGGTGGAGCAGCTGGTCAGGGGGATGGCACCCATAGGGGCCTTGGGACATCAGGCTTTGGCTGCTCTGTGTGCTGAGTATCCTTGACAAGCTGTGTCTCCTCTGGGCTCCCATGGCCTTATGTGTAAAGCAGAGAAAATGCCAACAAATGTGGAGGAGGACGGAGTGAGAAAATCCTGTGAAAGCTGGCAAAGCCTGACTCCTGAAGGCCAGTGGGCGACTTCAGAGGTGTGGATGGCTTCAGCTCGGTCACCGGGGTCACATGTATGGCCATTTGGCCCTTTTAGGAGAAACTATTCTGACAAAAATGTGTGGTCCAGCAGACGGCACCTCTGGGTCTAGAATATTCACTGACCTTGAGGGTGGGGTGCACAAGTGACCCCTCCATTGGGAACATACATCCCCCCAACATTTCTGGAGTCGAGTGGTTTGGCCTCTTCAAGAACATGGCGGGGATGAGAGCCTGTCCACGCTCCACCCCTTCTTTGCACTGACTCCAAATCTGCTGCCCAGTGAGAACATTGATTTTACCAGGGAGGAAAACAGAGGCCCAGAAAGGCAAAGACACAAGTGTTTGCCCGGGACCCCCAAGCTAGTGGCGGAATTAAGACTTACTTCCCTCTGATGCCTCCTCCCTCTGTCGAACCAGTGTCCTCCATGTGGCCTTGAAGAGGCCTGGGCAGCAACCCTGGATTTCGGGATCCTGGCCCAGCCTCATCCTAAGGATAACTTGGCCTCTATTATAGTCCATGCAGGGACAGTTTTTATTTAACCAGCATTCCCTATGGGCCAGACACTGGTCTAAGCATATAGCATGTCTTCGTCCATGTAATCTTCATAAAAGTCCTGTGGGGCAGGGACTGATATTATCTGTTTGGCAGATGGGGACACTGAGGCACAGAGAGGTTAAGTAATGTATCCAGTGTCACACAACTAGTAAGTGGGGGAACCAGGGGTCAAACCCAGGTGGCTGCAGGTACAGTCCAGCATATGTGCCCTCACCCCCCTGCACTGCTTTGCCTGTTCAGGACTTTATCGATGACAACATGCCTCTTTATCCCTTATCTTGCTCGAGACGCACCACGGTGCTAACACAACTGGGGCTTGGAGAAGTGGGTGGCTGCAGAGAAAGCTTCAGGAACAGAATCATGTCTACTGGCCCATGGCTTTCTTATCAGTCCAAGATGTCACCATCCCATTCCTTCTACCACCTTGTCCCGGAAGCCCTAAGTCACGTGTTCGCAGGATCATGTCCTGCAGTCTGTCCAGGGTGAAGCCACTGGCTCCAGGGCTGACCCAGTAACAGTCACTTTAGCCTCATCCCTTCCCCACTTCACAGGGGTCCAGGGATTGAGCCGCCTGCTCAGAGCTGCAGAGCTCAAACATGGTGGCGGAGACCAGCCTTGTGTGGTGCAGGATGCTCTTTGGGGATTATTTGTGATCACAAGTGGGAGACAATTAGAAATGTCTATATTCACACATTCCAAACTTGGAGATAGGCCCCCAAATGACTGCTCATTCTTTCAATGTCATACCAAAGCATGGCTACCAGCCTCACTCAAAAATTATCTGATTCTCCAGGAAACTGGACCTTAGCTTTGATTCATTGTTCATTATTGATTAGGGGATTTTACAACTCTGTAAAAGATGATGTTACCTCAGGGAAAAGAAAATGATAAAGGATGTAAGTGATTTTTGTTTGATTATAAGGTAAATTAACTTTGCCCTGTAGAGATGCAAATTTCTGTCCAGTAGAAAAGATTAGAAGTCCCAAAGGGGATAGTTTTAGTGCTCTATTGGGCACTAACCCGTTTTATGTGTGATTTAGTAACCTAATTCCAGCATTCTTTCAATTCTTCCAGAGACTATAAAGTCGTCTTCTCCTCCTGTGTTTCTCTGAATCAAGTATACAATCATGCTGATTCTCTTTGATGCGTTAGACATCCAGGGGGTGTGTGTGTCTGTCCATTGCCTCCCTCACCCAGCGAGTGGTTGTGTGTGTGTGAGCAGGGCTGGAGAAGTGCGGCTCCGTCTGAGTCAGCGTTGAACGCCTTTGGCAGGAGGCCCTTGCGCTTCTTTGGTTTCTGACTCTTCTCATTCGGGCAGATCTCGGGAGAAAAGAGACCTTCAGCCGACCCAGGAAAAAAGGCCAAGAACCCAAAGAAGAAGAAAAAGAAGGACCCCAATGAGCCGCAGAAACCCGTGTCAGCCTACGCACTCTTCTTCAGAGACACTCAGGCTGCCATCAAGGGACAGAACCCCAGTGCCACTTTCGGTGATGTGTCCAAAATCGTGGCCTCCATGTGGGACAGCCTGGGAGAGGAGCAGAAGCAGGTGAGCCTCCATCTCTTTCTGGGCCACCCCCTGAGGCTCTGTGGCCCTGGAGCCAAGGACAGACTGTGAAGGTCTGAAACCAGGCCCAGCTCCTGGGACTAGAGACTCTTGCAGAGGCCTTTCCTGGGCTCAGGTTGCCCATCTGTAAACTGGGAAGCTAGCTGCCTTCCAATTCTACTACTTACCATCTGCATTTACTAGCAGCTTTACCATTCTGAACCTCTGCCTCCCCACTGATAAAATGAGAGCAGGCATCACCATCCATCTGGTCCCTTCAACCCTAGAAGTCTGGAGTCCAGGCCAGGGCTTCCTGTCCCACTGACCATGTGCCTGTGGCCTCCTCTAAAGGCCTCCAGGGAGAAGAGAGTGCAGAACTAGCTGGTAGGCAAATACAGTTGTCAGCTGTGTGGCCTCAATCTCTGAGCCTCGCTTTCCATATCTATAAATCAGGGATGCTGGCCACACATTCTCTGAGCTCAGATCCTGGCTGAGCTCTGTGCTGGGCTCTCCCTTCAGTATTTCACTGGATCCTTCCAACACCCTGTGGAGTAGCCATTGCTTTCCTGGTTTGGTAAAGACACCAATAGGTAAAGTGACTTGCCCAGGGTCACCAGCATGAATCAAAGTAGAGACAGGATTTGAACTCACATCTGTAGAAGCAGGAGGCTCAACTGAGCTGTTGGCATGAGAGACAAATCATATAAGCAGATGAGTAAATGTAAAATTACAGTTGTGATTGTGCCATGTACCAGGAGGGGGCATAGTTCATGAGAGTGAGAGAGCAGTGACGGATACTGTCCGAGGGGTCAGATCTCCAGGTGAGGCCTGAAGAGTGAGTTCTCTTTGGAGGAGGGGAAGTGTTCCAGGCAGGGAGGCCTGGTAAGGGAAGGAGCCTGGAAAAGCACAGGGGACTGAAAGGAGACCAGGATGGCCAGAGAGGAGACAGTAAAAGTCCCTCTGGCAGAGACCGAGCTGGAAAGGAGGGCAGGGGCCAGACCACGCTGGGCTTTGTGGACCTTGGAAGGAGACAGGTCCTGTTCTAAGAGGAGAGAAAAATCAGTGAAGAGTTTTATGCAGAGGAGAGACCAGAACGGCAGCCTAAGGCAGGTAAGAGTGGCTGTGGATGACTATCCAGGTGGGGAAGGGTGGGGCCTGGAGCATCTTCCAGGATGGTTTGGGGTAGGGGACCCAGAGCACATCCTGGGAGACTCCTTGCATCTGGCTTACATTCTGAGTAAATGGAGATGCCATTCACTGGATTGGAAACCTGGGCAAAGTAGCAGGCTTGGGGCAGAGCAATGGATTACTGATTAATTTGAAACATATTCTTTACCATATTCTAAAATTTTAGGTTATTTTGGAATATGTTATAGGGCAGAGAGTTTGGGAGATGACTCCCACATCTGGTAGGGGAGTAGGGAAGTGTAACAAGGAAAGGGATCCAGGAAAGGGCACACTGTCCCAGGAGAATCCACCGTGGGGAACCAGAGTGCAATCCTGCTGGGAATTCAGGAGCCCACATAGAACGTGCCAGGCCTCAGGGGCATCCCTTCTGAGGGACAGTGGTGCTGGGGTGGAAGGAAGGACACCAGCACTCCTTCAAAGCTGGTCCAGAGGACATTACTTCTCCATCACCTCTGGCCTGCCACACATGCCAGGCTCCTGCCACCAGAGGGACCCTTAGGCAAAGAAAGACAGACAGGGGTAAGGACTGGGGAATACTGGCAGGGCACTGCCGGCTTTTGCGACACTAACGTTTGTTGTTTTCATTTGTATCTTTTGTTGGCAACCATTCCCTTTCCTACAAAGACTTCAGATTTTTTGGTGGGGGGGTTTCCTTTCCCTTTTATACACAGTCTGGGGAGACAGTGGTCTCAAGTGCTCTGTCCCCAGGCACTCCTTCCACCAATGCTTTCTCTGACCTCATTCTGAAATCATATTTTTGAAATGTGACTTATATTTTTACCAATAATCAATACACTAATAACCAAGAGAGGTAGTGTTGAGAAAATTATAGGAAATAAAAAACCCTTACCTCTTCCCCAAAAGTTTCAAGTCTAGGTGATGGGTAGGAAAGTTCTTTCAAAGAGCTGATAATTCCAAGACTTACTTAGAAAAAGAAGAAAACCCTCACAAGTCTTTCTTTATACATAATGTAACCTTGACACTAAATCATAATGAAGTTAACTGTATCATTTAATTTTGAATGTGTCATAAATAATACCAGAAATTTAATGGCTTAAAACAATACTCATTTATTATTTTGAGGGTCCATGAACTGTGCTGGACTCTGCTGCTGCTCTTGGCTGGACTCGCCCATTTGCATCAGTGGTCAACTACAGTAAATTAGGCATCTCTGCTTCTGGGAGTTGCATGGCTGTCTGCTGGAGCAGTGGAGCCCAACTGAGCCATGTCTCTCTCTCATCATCCAGCAAACTAGCTCATGCTTATTCACATAGCAAGTCAGAGTTCCAAGAGCAGTTTTAGAGCAGAAAAATGGTGGAAAGGAGGCAGAACTAACTTGCAGCTCCCATGTGGATAGATAGAGCAGCATGTGGACACTCACATTGTGAACTTTTGCTCCAAGAACTACCCCAGGAACATATCAGGAAAGGTAGAAGAATCCACAGACCCTTTGAAGGAGGTGGGTTGCTGCTGCAGGCTCTCTGGGACAGCCCAGGAACTGCAAGTCACTTGCTTTCTCAGCTGGGAGGCCTGTAGCCTGGGGCAAGTTCTCAGTCCTGCTCACTGGCTGCCTAGAAATAAACTTGATATTGTTGGGGGTGCATGGTGGGAGTGAGACCCGCCTGTGGCTGCCAACTTTCCCCTACTTCCCTGGTGAAATGTGTGATCCAGCAGAGGCAGCCACAATCCCCTGGGAACCACATCGTCTACAGCATCTGCAGCAAGCCCTGACTAAGGAGAGTCTGAGCTCAGACACTCCCAACCCTCCCTCTACCTGATGGTCTTTCTCTACCTGCCCTGGTAGCCAGAGACAAAGGACAGAATCTCTTGGGAGCTCTATGGCCCTGCCCACTGCCTGACCAAGGGCAAGCTTGTATCCTCCCTATACTACTGCAGCTGATGTCCTCTTGAAAATGCCACCTGCTGGCTGTGGCTGAGGGCTGACCAACACAAAACCAGCACACTTAACAAAAACATAACCAAGGATCTTCACGGAGTCCACTTCATTCCCCTGCTACCTCCACCAGAGCAGCTATTGATACCTATGGAGGAGTGACCTGAAGACAGATCATATCACAGGACTCTTTGCAGACACTCCCCAGTACTAGCCCAGAAGCTCGGCTGCATGACTAGATCCAGAAGAGGAATAACAATCACTGCAGTAGGGCTCTCAGGAAACCACATCCCTAGGGGAAGGGGGAGAGCACCACATCAAGGGAGCACCCCAAGGGGCAGCAGCCTGTGAGTCCCAGATCTTCCCTCTGACATAGTTTACCCAAATGAGCAGGAACCAGAAAAATAATTCTGGTAATACGATAAAACAAGGTTATTTATCACCCACAAAAGATCGCACTAGCTCACCAGCAATAGATGCAAACCAAGATGAAATCTCTGAATTGCCAGAAAAAGAATTCAGAAGGTTGACTGTTAAGCTAATCCAGGCACCAGAGAAAAGTGAAGTCGAACTTAAAAAAATATACAGGCTATGAATGGAAAAATCTCAAGTGAAATAGCATAAATAAAAACAATACGACTTCTGGAAATGAAGGAAACACTTAGAGAAATGCAAACTACACCAGGAAAATCTCAGCAATAGAACCGAACAAGTAGAAGAAAGAACGTCAGAGCTCTAAGGCAAAGCTTTCAAATTAACCCAATTCAGCAAAGACAAAGAATTTTAACAAATCAGCAAAGCCTCCAAGAAGTTTGGGATTATGTTAAATGACGAAACCTAAGAATAACTGGTGTTCCAAGGAAGAAGAGAAGTCTGAAAGTTTGGAAAACATATTTGAGGGAATAATTGAGGAAAACTTCCCTGGCCTTGCTAGAGATCTAGATATCCAAACACATGAAGCTCAAAGAACACCTGGGAAATTTTTCACAAAAATACCATCACCTCAGCACATAGTTGGGTTATCTAAAGATGAAAGAAAGAATCTTAAGATCTATGAGACAAAAGCATCTGGTAACCTACAAAGGAAAATCTATCAGATTAACAGCAGATTTCTCAGCAGAAACCTTATAAGCTAGACGGGATTCAGGTCCTATTTTTAGCCTCCTTAGACAATTATCAGCCAAGAATTTTGTATCCAGAAAAACTAAGCTTCATAAATGAAGGAAAAATATTATTTTTTCAAACCCATGCTGAGAGAATTTGTCACTGCCAAGCCAGCACTACAAGAACTAGTAAAAGGAGCTCAATCTTGAGACAAATTCTTGAAATACACCAAAATGGGATCTCCGTAAATAATAAATCTCACAGTACCTCTAAAGTAATAACACAATTTTTTAAAAACCACGGGGTATTTGGGCAACAAATAGCACAATGAATAGAAGAATCGTACCTCACATCTCAATACTAACATTGACAGTAAATGGCTTAAATGCTCTGCTTAAAAATACAGAATGGCAGAATGAGTAAGAATTCACCAACTGAGTATCTGCTGTCTTCAAGAGACTCACCTGACACTTAAGGTAAAGGGGTGGGAAAAGATTCCATGTAAATAGATAATAGATAGCAAAAGTGAGGAGTAGCAGCTATTCTTATATCAGACCACACAAAATTTAAAGCAACAGCAGTTTAAAAAGACAAAGAGGGACATTATATAATGATAAAAGGACTAGTCCAACAGGAAAATATCACAATCCTAAATTTTTATGCATCTAACACTGGAGCTCCCAAATTTATAAAACAATTACTGCTGGACCTACAAAATGAGCTAGACAGCAACATAACATAGTGGAAGACTTCAGCCATCCACTGGCAGCACTAGACAAGTCATCAAGACAAAGTCAACAAAGAAACAACAAACTTAAACTATACCCTACAGCAAATGGACTTAACAGATGTCTACAGAACATTCTACCCACCAACTACAGAATATACCTTCTATTCATTAGTACATGGAACATTTCCCAGGAAAGACCATATGATAGGTCACAAAACAAGTCTCAACAAATTTAAGAAAATAGAAATTATATCAAGTACTCCCTCAAACCCCAGTGGAATAAAACTAGAAATCAACTCCAAAAGAAATCCTCAAAACAATACAAATACATGGAAATTAAACAACCTGCTCCTGAATGGTTGTCGGGTCAACAATGAAAGCAAGATGGATATTATAAAATTCTTTGAACTGAATAATAGAAACATTACCTATCAAAACTTCTGTGATATAGCAAAAGTGGTGCCAAGAGGAAAGTTTATAGCATTAAATGCCTACATCAAAAAGTCTGAAAGAGCACAAATAGACAATCTAAGTCACACCTCAAGGAACTAGAGAAAAAGAGCACACCAAACTCAAACCCAGCAGAAGAAAAAAAATGACCAAGATCAGAGCGGAAACAAATGAAACTGAAACAAATAAAAATATAAAAGAAATAAAACAGAAAGCTGCTTCTTTGAAAAGGTAGAATTGATAGACCATTAGTGAGATTAACCAAGAAGAGAGAGAAGATACAATTAAGCTCAATTAGAAACAAAGCATGAGACGACATTACAACTGATACCACAGAAATACAGAAGATCAAGGCTACTATGAACACCTTTATGTACGTAAACTAGAAAACCTAGAGGAGATGGATAAATTCCTGGAAATATACAACCGTCCTAGATTAAACCAGGAAGAAATGGAAGCTCTGAACAGACCAGTAACAAGCAGCGAGATTGAAATTGTAATTCAAAAGTTACCAACAACAAAAAAAAGTCCAGGACTAGAGGGATACTCAGCTGAATTCTATCAGACTTTGAAAGGGCACTATTCCACAAAATAAAGAGGGAATCCTTCCTAAATCATTCTATGAAGCCAGTATCACCCTAATACCCAAATCAGGAAAGGACATAACAAATAATAGAAAGCTACACACCAATATTCCTTCTATGCCCCAAATCAGCAATAGAAGGGACATACCTTAAGGTAATAAAAGCCATCTGTGATAAACCCAGAGCCAACATTATACTGAATCGGGAAAAATTGAAAAGCATTCCCCCTGAGAACTGGAACAAGACAAGGATGCCCACTGTCACCACTTCTATTCAACAGAGTACTGGTAGTCCTACCCAGAGCAATCAGGCAAGAGAAAGAACATTCGAATCGGTAAACAGGAAGTCAAACTGGCGCTCTTTGCTGATGATGTGATCATGTATCTAGATGAACATGGATGCAAAAATTCTTGCACAGTACTAGCTAACCAAATTCAATGGCGTATCAAAGATAATCCACCATGATCAAGTGGGTTTCACACCAGAGATGCAGGAATGGTTTAACATACACAAGTCAATAAATGTGATACACCCCATAAACAGAATTTAAAACTACATGATCTCGATAGAAACAGAAAAGGCATTTGACAAAATTCAGCATCGCTTTATGATTAAAACCCTCAGCAAAATTGGCATAAAAGGGCTTTTTACTTACTGTAATAAAAGCCATCTATGATAAATTCAGAGTCCACATTATACTGAATGGGGAAAAGTTGAAAGCATTCCCCCTGAGAACTAGAACAAGACAAGGATGCACAGTGTCACTCTGTTTATCCAGTGTAGTACTGGAAGTCCTAGCCCCAGAGCAGTCAGACAAGAGAAAGAAATAAAGGGCATCCCAATCAGTAAAGAGGAAGTCAGACTGTCACTTTGCTGATGACATGATCATATTCCTAGAAAACCCAAAGACTCATCCAAAAAGCTCCTAGAACTAGTAAATGAATTTGGCAAAGTTTCAGGATACAAAATTAACGTGCACAAATCAGTAGCTCTGCTGTATACCAACAGTGACCAAGCTGAGAATCACATCAAGAACTCAATTCCTTTTAGCTGCGAAAAAATAAAATAAAATATTTAGGAATATACCTAACCAAGGAGGTGAAGACCTCTACAAGGAAAACTACAAAACATGCTGAAAGAAATCATAGATGAAATCAATGGAAACACATCCCATGCTCATGGATGAGTAGAATCAATAGTGTGAAAATGACCACACTGCCAAAAGCAATCTATGAATTCAATGCAATTCCCATCAAAATACCACCATCATTCTTCACAGAACTAGAAAAAAAAAGTCCTAAAGTTCATATAGAACCAAAAAAGCCCTCATAGCCAAAGCAAGACTAAGCAAAAGGAACAAATCTGGAGGCAGTGCATTACCCGACTTCAAAGTCTATGGCCATAGTCACCAAAACAGCATGCTGCTGATATCACAATAGGTATATAAACCAATGGAAAAGAATACAGAACCCGGAAATAAAGCCGAATACTTACAACAAAGTGGGGTTTGAGGGAGTACTTGATATAATTTTTCTTTTCTTAAATTTGTTGAGACTTGTTTTGTGACCTATCACATGGTCTATCTTGGAAATGTTCCATGTACTAATGAATAGAAGGTATATTCTGCAGTTGTTGGGTAGAATGTTCTGTAAACATCTGTTAAATGGGGAAAGGACATGTTATTCAAAAAATGGTGCTGGGATAATTGGCAAGCCACATGTAGAAGAGTGAAACTGGATCCTCATCTCTCACCTTATACAAAAGTTAACTCAAAATGGATCAAAGACTTACATTTAAGACCTGAAAGCCTAAAAATTCTACAAGTTAACACTGGAAAAACCCTTCTAGACGTTGGTTTAGGCAAAGGCTTCCTGACCAAAGAACCCAAAAGCAATTGCAACAAACACAAAGATAAATAGATGGGACTTAAACTAAAAAGCTTCTGCGCAGCAAAAGAAAATCTTCACAATCTATATTTCCATAAAAGACTAATTAATATCCAGGATCTAGAAAGTAACTCAAATCAACAAGGAAAAAAAAAATCCCATCAAAATATGGGCTAAGGAAAGGAATAGACAGTTCTCAACAGAAAATATACAAATGGCCAACAAATGTATTAAAAAATAATCAACATCATTATGATCAGGGAAATGCAAGTCAACACCACCTTACTCCCGCAAGAATGTCCATAAACAAAAAATCAAAAAGTAATAGATATTGGCATGGATGTGATGAAAAGGGAGCACTTTTACGCTGTTTGTGGGAATGTAAACTTGTACATCCCCTGTGAGAAACAGGGTGGAGATCCCTCAAAGAACTAAACGTAGACCTGTTTGATCCAGCAATCCCACTCCTGGGTATCCACCCAGAGGAAAAGGAATTTTACAAAAAAGATACTTGCACACACTTTTGTAGCAGCCCCATTCGCAATTGCAAAAATATGGAACCAGCCCAAATGCCCATCAGTCAATGAGTGGATTAAAAAAATGTATATCTATGTATGCATGCTATGGAATACTACTCAGCCATAAAAAGGAATGAAATAATGGCATTCACAGCAACATGGATGGAATTGGAGACTATTATTCTAAATGAAGTAACTCAGGAATGGAAAGCCAAGCATTGTATGTTCTCACTCACAAATGGGAGCTAAGCGATGAGGACTCAAAGGCATAAGAATAATACAATGGACTCTGGAGACCCAGGGAAAAGGATGGGGGGTGAGGGATAAAAGACTATGCCTTAGGTACAGTGTACACTGCTCAGGTGATGGGTGTACCCAAATCTCAGATCACCATCCAAGAACTTACTCATGTACAAAACAAAAAAGTTTTTAAATAAGAGTTCCAGGAGTAGGAAGAGGGCCCACCAACGTGTGAGCACTTTTCAGTCTCTGCTTTCTTCCTGTGTGCTTGTCTTATTGGCCAATGCAAGTTACACAAGGCTAAGCTCCAAGTCGTTTCTAACAAAAGGCATGGAAACGAGGTGCGAACAAACTGGGACCAATCCTCCAATAGCATATGATACCCAGGTCTAACATTTTAATAAAAAGTATTAGCAAAGCAAATCCAGACTAACATACTGTGAGCAAGTACGTTCGTCCTAGGTTGCGAAGGTGGTTCAGCATTAAGCAATCTGCACTGTGCGGGATCAGAATAGGGGGCTTCAAAGGGCTTTGTCTTTCTGGGGCATGTTGTGCTGATGTAACTTGGAGGCCCAGAGAGGTGAAGCATGTTGGCCAAAGCCACACAGCGAGTTGGCCGAGGAACTGGGATAGGGCCTGGTCTCCACAATTTCTCTGCAGTGCTCCCAGGAAGGAGCGAGTGGCTGGTTGACCCAGCTCCTGACCCCACCACCCTTGTCCATTCATAATCCTTGAGTCTATGCCTTCCCACCCCAGCACCCGGCACCACATCTCCTCCATAACATTCTCCCAGTGTTGCTCACGTGTTGACTCTTCCAGGCCTACAAGAGGAAGACGGAAGCAGCAAAGAAGGAATATCTGAAGGCTCTGGCAGCCTACCGGGCTAGCCTCGTCTCCAAGGTAATACCCGGAATCTCCAGGCACAGCCCTCATCAGAGTGGGGCCACCTGAGGACTGGAATGAGAACTGGGGCCCATGGGAATGGCCAGCACCCTAGGTCTTAGAAAGGATGGGTCAGACCTGCATGGTCATGGCTGCAGGGCACCTACATATGCCAGGTTCATTCTGGGCACTTTACATGCGTTTCATTGGATTCTTCCAACAAGAACCCAGCACCCAGAGGGGTTAAGCAACTTGCCTGAGAATATTGTTGGTTAAAGCTACCGCACTAGGATTCAAACCCAGTTTTATGTGGTCTTCACTTCTGACCGCTGATGGGGCTTGGGACACGCTACCCAAAATATGGCACCTCCTCACCACACTGTCAGCCTCCTCTGTCATTACCAGTGACGTAGGAAGCTAGGTGTGGCTGTGGATGTGTGGCCCAAGTGGAGGTGGGTGTTATGCCTGTTACAGAGGAGATAGCATCTGAATCGCTCCATAAAAGTTCAAGAAAGGCCGGGCACGGTGGCTCATGCTTGTAACCCCAGCACTCCAGAGGCCAAGGCAGGTGAATCATGAGGTCAGGAGATCGACACCATCCTGGTCAACATTGTGAAGCCCCGTCTCTACTAAATACAAAAAATTAGCCTGGCATGGTGGCATGTGCCTGTAGTCCCAGCTACTTGGGTGGTTGAGGCAGGGGAATCTCTTGAACCTGGGAGGCAGAGATTGCAGTGAGCAGAGATCACGCCGCTGTACTCCAGCCTGATGACAAAGCAAGACTCCATCTCAAAAAAAAAAAAAAAGTCAAGGAAAAGGCAGTTCAAAGTCAAGGGAACATCTGCAAAGGCATAGAGGTTGGGAGGAGCGTGAATAGAGCCAGCTCGGCAGGATGATGCTGGTCTCACTGGCCAGGCTGAGGAGCATGGATGCCCTCACGGGCAGAGAAGCCCCCCAAGGATAAAAGATGGGGATGACTGAATGGTCGGAGCTAAGGAGAGTAAGGAGCCTGCATTATCTCTGGTTAGTCCAAGATCTCTCCCAAGGGGCCAGAGAGCCAGCCAGGGGCCATGTTGGGGTGTTGCAGAGCTGTCTGGCCTCCTAGCCCAAGTTCTGGCTCATCCCTCTTCTCTTCTCCAGTGACTGATACCTGTCTCCTTCCAGAGCTCCCCGGACCAAAGTGAGACCAAGAGCAGTCAGCCAAACCCACCAGCCAAAATGCTGCCACCCAAGCAGCCCATGTATGCCATGCCAGGCCTGGCCTCCTTCCTGACGCCATCAGACCTACAGGCCTTCCGCAGCGGGGCCTCCCCAGCCAGCCTCGCCCGGACACTGGGCTCCAAGTCTCTGCTGCCAGGCCTCAGTGCGTCCCCGCCGCCACCACCCTCCTTCCCGCTCAGCCCCCCACTGCACCAGCAGCTGTCACTGCCCCCTCACGCCCAGGGCGCCCTCCTCAGTCCACCTGTTAGCATGTCCCCAGCCCCCCAGCCCCCTGTCCTGCCCACCCCCATGGCACTCCAGGTGCAGCTGGCGATGAGCCCCTCACCTCCCGGGCCACAGGTAAGCAACGACAAGCAGGAACAGCCCTTCTGTGACTGTGTGGGGAGGGGAAGCGGCTTTGCCATTTCAAACCTGGGCCCTGCCACTCACCAGGGATGTAACCTCAGCCTTGGCACCTGATCTGAGCCTCAGTTATCACATCTAGGACGTGGGGCAGGCACACCTTACCCGAGACGCGCTGGCTGCAGCGAACAGTTCACAAGTTGCCAGACTGATGCTTAGAGCATTCCAGGCCCCTCATCCCACATTCTCAGCCCTAACCCTGCCCCTCCCCAAAGCCCTCAAGACCCTACCCTAGCTAATTGTTTCACAGAGATTGCTACAGTTCACACAGCCCTCAGAGGTCACAGGGCTCAGTAACTCCATTTTACAGAGGTCCAGAAAGGAAAAAGCCTGAAAGCAAAGTCCTTCAGCCCCTGATTCAGCCAAGAGGAGGGTGACTATTTCAAAAGGTGCTCTACTGGGAGCAAGGCAGCAGCCCTGGAGGCAGAGAGGCAATTCTGGGTGACATGGAGGCAGTGTCTCTTCCTGGGACCCATGGGCCCTCACCCCGAGTGGCCTGAGACAGTCTTCCCACTCCTCTCTCCTTGGCTCATGTCCTCCTCCTTCCCCTCTGTAGGACTTCCCACACCTTTCTGAGTTCCCCAGCAGCTCGGGCTCCTGCTCCCCTGGCCCATCCAACCCCACCAGCAGCGGGGACTGGGACAGCAGCTATCCCAGCGGGGAGTGCGGCATCAGCACCTGCAGGTCAGTCCTCACCCGTGCCTGCCTTTGTCCTGCTGGCCAGGGACAGTGGGAACAGGATGGCCAGGGATGGGAGCTTGGCCAAGGGCAGCGTGGACAGGGCACAACCCCGCAGTCACTGTCAGCCCTGCCAAGGGGTTGCCTGGAGTCCTCAGGAGATGACACTGTAGAGCCAGGCCCCAGAAGGACTCCGCTGGCCTGATGCCGAGGCCGGCTGGGGAAACACTAATCTTCAGTCTTGCTGCTGCTTCCTCCCTCCTGGTTTTTCCATAGATGCTTCCGCGTGACATTCACCGATGAGTCCTGCATGTTAGGTGGTTCTCTAGAAGCAGAGCGTGAGGCAGCAGGGATTGGGTGCCCTTGGGGAAGTGTCGGGGAGAGCTTGCAGGAAAGCGGGGTGAGGGAGGCAAGACCGGGAAGGAGCCGAGTGGAGATGTGGCCTCAGCTGGAGACTTGCTTCCACCTGATCCCATGAGAGTGCCCAAGCATGAACGGTGCTAGAGCAGGTCCCACCTGGAGGTCAGGGAGCTGGCTTCTTCAGCACCTGCATCAGTCAGCCTGGGGGAGTGGGGCCCACTGGGCAGGGAAGCACCCAAGAACAGAACAGCTGAGAATGCGGGACAGCAGGTCTGGGTGAGACACGGTGGGAAAAGGGACCTACACTCTATTCCAAGGAATTACACAGACACTTTAGAGATGCCTTCCCCTGCACCCCAGCGTCCTCCCGACTCAGGCCTCTGTTCCCAGCCTGCACTCCGCCTGTCAAACCCATGCTAGAAAGCCTTCCTGGATCCAGGCCACACCAACTCCGGGGAAGAATGACCTTTCACTTCAGCCAGCAGGAGAGGGAGGGGGACTTGCTCCATAACCCGCCGACCTGGTTTCCAATCCCTTGGCAAAAACGAGTCCCACAGCCACACCTGGGGGATGTAGTGCCAAGCAGCTGTCCCTGCAATAGCTCCACACTCTGGAAGGCACAGCACACTGTTGGGTGGCCACCTCTGCTGCCGAGACCCGCTGCCCCCAGCCCTAGCCTCAGCCTCCCAGCCTAGGGCTCATTCCTCTGCCAACCCGCCAGTGCCCTTGGGCACTGAGCAAGTGATCACCATGCACACCCCATTTCTGACACCCCTGGGGTGAGATTCAATGTGGGTAGGCGGACTCCATTCAGCAAGAATCCCTTCCCTGCACCACAAGCAGGTGCAGACCCTCCTACCCCGGCCCTTTATCCCATCTCCAAAGTTTCCTTTCTCAAAAGTCAAAGTACTTGGGGTATGTAGGGTGGTCTTTAGTGTCACAGAATGTCCAAGCTTCCCGCGGCTGGCCCGTCACATCCAGCATGGAGGTCAGACCACAGCACAGCCCTACTTTAAAGGCATAGAAAGCACCTGTCTTCCCTTGATTCAGTTTGAGATTTACAAATTCCTGTGATTAAAAACCACCGTGAGAGCAATGGTGACATTGCTGTGCACCTCAAAGGAGGACAGACACACTGCTGCACTTTCCCACAGAGCTGAGGACTGGGTGGTTCCCTGCTGGGATTCCAGGAGGGGCTTGGTTCTGCCTAGTGCAGAATCTGGGGTGGGGAGCAGGAGGGCAGCTGCAAGTCCCTTATTCAGCCACAGAAAGGCAGCTGAATCTCTGGAATGGGGGTGGGGGTGGGGACAGTGCAGGGGTCCTGGTGCTCTCCTGGCCTGAGGAGGTGCCTAACAGCTTTGACAGCCCCTCCTCTCTCTCACAGCCTGCTTCCCAGAGACAAATCGCTCTACCTCACCTAATCCCGCCTCCCCCTCATCCCTGAGGCTCGCTGGAAAGCACTGCTCAGAGCCTGAAGGGCTGACAGCAGAAAAGAGGCCCTGGCCAGAGGCAGGGTGGCCCATCGGAGAGATCCCATTGCCCAGGGGCTGAGTCTCTTCCTCGACCTCCCACCAGACTCTGCAGAGACAGCCCCACTGCCTGCCGCCAGCCCAAAGAACCTGCAGGAACCTTCTGCCCACTGATCTGCTTGCTCCAGGGTAACCGTGGACCCTGTCCTCGCCCTGCGCACGGTACCCTATGTCTGGATGCCTGGCCCCAGCCCCAGCTCACAGGGACTGCCCTTGGCGGAGTCGCTTACCAACGGACACCCACCCCGATGCTTGGGCCAGGGGGCTGGCCCCCATCATAGACGTGCCCATCGGCTTTCCAGTGTGAACAAGATTACGAAACCTATGAACTGTTGGTTCCGTGTAAGTAGTTGATACGTGTTTTAGAACTGTGCTGAAGACATCTGTAAGATTATTTTGTGGGGGAAAAAAAGTAGTTTCCTTTAAGGTAAAAAGCATTTTATATGGCCCTTAGCACATTTTTAAGTTTCGTCGTAAAGGAGACGTGCACAAAAGCGGCCGCCAACCCGTGTCGCCATCCTCACAGCAAGGACCGGACGATCGCGAGCCCTCACCCCCCACATCACTCTCCTTTCTTCAACCATGTATTCATGTATTTTAAATTGCCAGCGATGACTTTTGTCTATTTATGAAGAAACCCTGAGAACAGAGTTGCAGCTTCTCCTACCGTGTGCGTGGTTTTGGGGTTTGGTTTGGGTTCTTGACGTTGTTTGCAGCTGTTTTCTGGCCCTGGCGAGTGTCTGTCTTGGTGCCCAGTGCTTCTCTCAAATCTCTTTATAATAAAACTTCTGAAAAGCTGTAAACAAGTCTGTGTCTCCTTGCCCTTGGTGAGCCAGGGTCGCGCCCCCACAAAGTGACATTTGATGGTGGCTTGCCCAGGATGGAGCCCCTCGGGGCAGACAGACTTGGGTCGAAGCCCTGCCTGAGTGTTACCAGCCCATGGGGGTTTGTGTGTGGGTGATGGGCCCACTCTGACCTCAGTCTTGTCCTCTAATGGAGTAACTGTGCTGCAGACCCGTACGACTCTAATGTTGATGGAAAGGGGTGTGGGCAGGAACACTGCCACATGGGAACCTGCATCAGCCAGTGACAGTGGCGAGCCCTCCCCACCATCCTCTGGATTATGAGGCCTCTCAGGCTGGTAGAGGTGAGCAGTGGGAACCCAGGGAAGTGGCCGGGGGGTTTCTTTTTCAAACCTGAGCATAGGAAGCATCCTAAACAGGGGATTCTTTAAACCAGGTTTCCCTGCAGATGTTAGATGGTGGTACTATTTTAACTATATCTAGAAAGATACCAATTCCCTGGTGGGAAGCTACAACTTGGCACCCTGTGATGCAGCCATTTTGAGGTGGGGGCAGGTGCCCCGGCTGCCAGCCAGGCCCGGGACCTGGACATAGGAGCCCCCACTTTCAGGACCGCTCTTCCGGCCTCTCATTCTCCCATCATGATAAACCCCCTCCTTCCAGAGGACTGCCCAGGAGTGCGGTGCCGTCCCCCACTCAAGGTGGATTTTGTAATCCACCTTGGAAAAACAGAAAACCCCAAACCAGCCAACCCCCTGCCGTCCCACAGTAGCAGCAGCTCCATGTATGGTGTAAATACTTTATGTGGTTACAATTTCTTCTATGCGGAGCTTGTCAGCAACATGATGACTTAGACAGTACTATTCAACTCTTGCTTTACATTTGCGAAAACAGCTTTCCCTGGGAGTCACGCAGATGGCCCACAATGACAAGAGTACAATGCCATCCTCGTATGGTGGTGCTGAGGCGAGGCCTGCTGCCACCCCTCACCAGCTGTGCCAAGAGCTCCGGAGTCCTTTCCAAGCATCCACACGCCAAGGCCAGCCTCTGGGCTGCACGGGACGCTCAGAGGTCCCAGGCAGAACCCAAGTGCCCTGCCTAAAGGTCTCAGGAACTGCCTGTCGCATGGGTCTGTCCTGGGGCCCCAAAGAGTGGGAACAGAGCCAAAAGGCTAATTTCGGGGCCATGGAGAGGACAGCAACTGTCCTAGTCCATCTCGGGTGCCCTAACAGAACACCATAAGCCGAGCGGCTTGCAGTAACACAAACTCAGTGCTCACAGCTGTGGAGCCTGGGAGGTCTAAAATCAAGGCGCTGGCAGCCTCCAGGGTGAGGGTTCATAGACATCCATCCTCTCGCTGTGTACAGGGCTGGAGGGGATGGCGCTCTCCAGAATTTCTTTAATAGCATTCACCCCAATCCTGAGGGCTCCATTCAATCACCTTCCAAAGACCCTGCCTCCAAATACCAGCCCATTGAGGGTTAGGATTCCAGTGATCAATTCCAGGGGGACATAATCGTTTGGTCTGTAGCACCGACTGCAACGGATGACATTGGTGTCCCCTCTCCCTGGGCTCCTCTGTGGCCAGAGCCCATCCCTAGGTCCCGAGTGTTGACTGCTCTTAGCTCGAAGCTGCACCACCCCCATCCCGGTCATTGCCCCCCAGGGCTGCCCACAGCTAAGGACCAAATAATCGAGACACCAACTCTGAGGTCCCATGCACAACCTGAGTCCCTGGAGCAGCCTGAAGCCATCTCCAGCTGCAGCACCATCCTTGCTAAGTTCCTTCCCCCTGCCCCACCCTGCTCCGAGGATGTGACTCCCTTCTGAGAGTACCCACTCAGTGAATCGCTTGAACCAGAATCCCCATCTCAGGCCCTTATGTTTCTAAGGCAACAGCCGACGATACTGGCTACACCCGTGGTCCAAGTGGGGCCTCATCAGTATTGCTCCAGATCTCACTGGCTCTGGCCTTACCTGCAACAGCAAGACTTTCAGCCCCAGAACCACAATTCAAACGCCACCCCAGGGGCTTCCTCCTCCTTGGGAGGTAGTGTCTGCTGCCTGTTTTCTATTCCATCTGGCAATGATGGTGGCCACGACCCACAGAGCCTCCAAGAGCCCAGGGTCACACCTGCTGTCAAAACACTGGGGTTTTTGTCATGGGCTCTCCCATCCCCCATCCCTGTGCTCCCAAAGCTGCTGGCCCTGGGGTCCCCAGCCTTGTCATGGGCCAGGCCCTTCCTGCAGCATTCCTCACGCTCAGAGGTCCCAGGCAGAACCCAAGAACCTAGCATCCTGCTAGGGCCAGTCTATGGCCAGGGCCCCTCACACCTTGAGGTTTCAAGTTATTGCCAGAACCTACAGCAGTGACCCTGACTTTGTGAATACCCCTAACTCCTGCCTGCACCCTGTCCCCACTACCCACAGAGCTGGCCCAGGGACCAACCCCACTCACCCTTCCCAGGGCCAAGTGCCTTCCTCTGATTTCTCCATCTCACACCTCCCCCTACAAACGAATCTTGGTCCAAGCAGGAGGCACACCCTGGGCCGAGGCTGAGATCCCACCCCCCGGCCCCAGAAGGCAGGCGTGGCTGGTCCCAAAATTGCCCAGTAGTAATTCCTCCCTGGAGGGATACATATACATGTTTACATTGGATTGGAAGGCGGGCAACAAGGCACCGATTGATTTTCAGAGTCCGCCATGCTAAAATTCAGTGTGTTCATTCAGCGAGAATACAAACAGAGCAGTTCCTCTCTGTCATGCCCTTCGCTGAGCACTACCGATGCCAGCAGCATGGGGCACAGTCTGCCTTCCTGGAGTTAAGGTCCACTTGGGGAGACAGAGATGGAAAACATAACGTTATAATTAAATATTAGCCACTTTATATTATAAACCATAAAAGTATAAAATTATGAATGACATGTGACCAGTGGAAAAAAGGGAGCCAGGGGAATGTGGACCAGGGGTGCCCTGTCCAGCTAGGATCAAAGGCTTCCTGGGTGAGGCGACATCTGGTCTGTGCCCTGACAAATGATCAGGATTGGCACGCACTCCTGTGTACCACGCTTTCCTAAGCTCAGATCCGAGAGGCTATGACTCTGCAATTGTGAATCTCATCAAGAATTCAGAGAATTCTCTCTAGAGGAAGTTGAGGCAGAGTCTGTATGGCTGCATGGGGATCTTTTTGAATTGGAAATAGGGTGGCTGTGCTCCGATGGAAGGTGAACCTCACAAATGGTGCTTATTCCCCAACATTCGAATTCTGCAGCCATCTCCTGGGGTGCAGGCCAGCTCTGACTCCCAGCATGGTGGGTAGCATGCCTGCAGAGGTGGTATGAGAGTGTGCAGTGTGGTCTTGTGTGTTTCGCATGTGTGTAAGGGTGAGGTGTGTCCATGTGATGTGCGTGTAGCAGGTATGATGCATCCCTGTGCTGTGCATGTCTGTGCATCTCTATGTACGTCTTATGCATATCTGTGCATGGTGTGCTTGGCAAGCGCAAGCTGTATGTGTATAGGTATGTTATGTGGTATGCATATGTGTAGCTAGCATGCATGTGGGTAAGACACACACACAGCACCCAAAACACATACAGATGCATGCACACACAGAACACACAAACTCAGTGCATTACACAGACCTATGTCACACACACATGCACTCATGCATGACGTGGACACACACCACATACCACATGTACACCATGGCCATGCACACATGCATGCCACATGTACACACATATGCAATGACGCACCACACACAAATGCGCATACACACATCACATGCATACCATGTACATACAAGCCCACCACACACATATAGACACATACCAAATGCATGCAAATGTCCTGCATATTCCCCATCCACTATTCAGGTACATCTTACACATCCATGCCCATCTCATGCAGACACATGCATGGACGCATACAAACCCCATGACTATTCATGCTGTTGTACAGCACATGCATATGCACACATCAGCTAGCACGGAATTATCTGTTATTGAAAGTTTGAAATAACTCCCACGCAAAAAAGCTCTGATATGCGGTTATAGATTCAGGAGTTTAAAACATTGCTCAACTCATCAGTTATTAACCAGCTCTGCTTCCCAAATTACCCAGGACCAATAACCCCAAGCCCGCTAAACGCTGAAGGGCAGTCATTTCCAGAGTGAGAGGCAGTGGGGTAGTGGTTAGGTTGAGGGCTGGGTCACAGCCTGCCTGGGAGAATTTTCCCTTGGCTGCCTATGAGTTGTATGAGCTCAGGCAAGTTTCTTAACTTCTGTTTCCTCAGGTCTAACTTGGAGATAATAGTCTCCTCTTCAAAGCTCTGTTCTAAGTAATAATGAGTTAATGTAGGTAAAGTCCTTAAAACAATATTATCCATCCATCCTTTTTTTTATTTTTTGATAGAGGCAGAGTCTCGATCCGTCACCCAGGCTGGAGTGCAGTGGTACAATCTCAGCTCACTGAAACCTCCACCTCCTGGGTTCAAGCAATTCTCTTGCCTCAGGCTCCCAAGTAGCTGGGATTACAGGCACATGCCACCACACCCGGCTAATTTATTTTGTATTTTAGCAGAGACAGGGTTTCACTGTGTTGCCCAGGCTGATCTTGAACTCCTGAGCTCAGGCAATCTGCCTGCCTCAGCCTCCCAAAGTGCTAGGATTATAGGCATGAGCCACCGTGCCCAGCCATCAACATTATATATTATATATTACTAGAAGAATATTTAATCTCTACACTGGAAGGTCAAGTTTCTTGTGTCGTGTGCTATTCAGGATGTGTTAGGCGACGCTGCAGGAACAACTCCCATCTCGGCAGCTTAACCCAACAGAGTTGATTCCTCCAAGCCTCCTCCAAGCCACCAAGAACATTTGGGGTTCTTCTCTCTAGTGGCTCTGCCACCCCCTCCGCCCTCGGAGCCCTCCCCTGGATCCTCTATAACCAGCCAATGGTGAGTGAGCCGGGCTCCTGCAGAAGAGGGAAACAAAG